ACACCTTGACACGACGCTCTTCCGATCTGTCCCCTCATCCTTCGCTGATCGATATAAAAACAACTAAGACAGCCTCAAGCGTTTCTATAACTATTTAAGGGCGAAACAAATCTATGCGAAGGTTTTTCGTTCTTTATTCATTACATGCGTTCTATTTATTCAATGCGCCCTATTACATGATCGCACTGATAAGGCTTATATGCACCTTTCATATCTTTAGCGTATTAGTAATGAAAGAATTATGAAATATTCGATTTCTCTTTGTAACTATAGCGAGAAGTTTTCTTTTTTAATTAAATAATTTCGATTTCATGTTTGCAACTTTTTCGAATTGAACGATGAACCAATGAAGCAACAACCAATAAGCAGATGAAATTTTATATAATATAAAAATTGTTACGTCCTGGAGCCGCGGTGGGGTGACTTTATAAAACGTACTACTTGGTTTAGAAGCTACCAATTGAAACCTTGTCTAGACCACAATTCCGAAAAAAAAAAAAAAAATTTTCCATAGAATTTATTTCTTCTTCATTTTATTAACATTAACTGTCTGAAAAATTGTTTAAAATCCTATGAACATTGCTTTCTATTCACCCATACTATCTCCAATTGCAATTAGGGAAAACTGTTTGCATATTTAACCTGGAAAATGTTTCACGACGTTTAACCAGCTAGCAGAAAAGCGCCAATGGTCAAGTGCAATAATAAGTGTTTAATTCAATATATATATATATATTCATATAAGTGTTTAATTCAATATATATATATTAATTCAATATATATATATATATATCAATTCGTTAGATGTTGTTTTCGAAATGGTTTTCTACGAATTATTCAAAATCCCATATAAGGGCGCACTATGGTCTCTTTTACTTTTTTCAAGCGCAAATTTAGACGCAAAGCTATGTGTTACCTCTCTCCAAGTGCATCTTTATTGATTGCAGGCTAAAAATTTGATAAGGTGATCCAAAAAATCATATTCATTATCATAGTCTGGTATACTCAACTTTGACTAAATTTATGCACCCGAAAAAAAAACCCAAAAAAAGGGGAAGATCTAATCCTCAAATCATTTCTAATTTCAGGTTTATCTAGCACAAAGCTTTCTCAAGACCTAGTTACTCTTTAGGATTTTAAAGACCCTTTCATCCCTCTACTCTCTACACCCATTTTGATAGAGGGCATATTAAGTTTGTGCGGCTATATGCATGTAACATGCAGACGGGCTTAAGGTAAACCCCTTTTTTTATTATTCCGATAAATTCAGAATCATTTTCTGAATAGATTTAAGCATATCTGTTCGTCTATCGATGTTTTCTTACGTACAAGCCGTCATTGTTTAGATATGTTCAAGACGAAACCAATTGAAAATAGAAATGGACAATGCCCACTATTTACTACCACTACCCATATATTGTCTTAATTTGAACAAAAGTGTTGTATAAAACAAAACTGAAATTTTTCAAATTTCCCAACAAATAATCGCCTGAGTATTCGCATTCCGGCATATTAAATTGATGCGGAAAAATTTTGGATCGGATGAGCTGGCCTTTTGATCCCATCCCCTATATTGTTGGTCGTACAAAAGCTAAACCTTAATACGGGAAAATAGCCTAATAGGTCCTTTACAGTAGTTTAACACAAAAATCAATTGTATCAAATTCGAGACATGTAAATCTACCCCGTATAAGGGTCCTGGCGAAAGCTAGGCATTTACATAAAAAAAAAGAAAACAATCTAATTTTCCATAATTTTTTTTATTAAGATTGGTTCACAGGAACCAATAGAAAGTAAATGAATCATATTTGGACTAAGGAATGTATATTTTACGGATCGCACTCGATATAAAGGTGCATATGTTGTATGGCAGCAAAGTATAATTTTTACTACCTTATAATGAAAGTATATGACATGAATAATAAGATCTGTGACAAGTATATTAATTTTGCTAAATTTGGACCCGGTCAGTCTGATTCTTGGCCTCTCTTCCTCGTATATAAGAGATTCAATAAAAAGTATGCTTTCAGATGGCAACAAGGTACAATTGTTGGTATTATTTTTATAATGAAAACGAATAAAAAAATTGTACTAGACGAAGATCGCTTGATGTATATAGATAGCATCTAATTGTCGGAATTGTTTTGATATGCCTTTCAATTTCGATATCTTTCACAAGGAATGAATTGTCTGCGATCCATAAGCATATCATTTATAGAATTATTTTTTAAGTTAAACAAAACAAGGATTATCATCCAGCCTTAGGCGCATGCACATTACAATTTATTTAATCATTTATCATTGCTTTTGAAGGGAAATAGTTCTTTAACATGCCCCACTACTACGATCCACTGCTTTACGCGATAGTTGTAAATAACATTTACTTACTTATTTACATTCAAATCAATTAAAGTTAAGGGTGATGTGGTGAGTATAAATGAAGACTCTCACCTTAAGTCGAACTTTATTATTGTCTTTTTATAAAACGCGGACCTTGTAAACGCCATTAAAAAATATTGTATTTATAAATATTTCTATATCGACTCTCTACTATAATAAAATGTAAGGAAATACAATAAAAATTGAGAGCTTTTTTTCAGTCACAGATCCAGGTAAGAATGAATTCATATTTGATGTGAAAATTGTTTGAATGTTGAATGGTTTCGTTGAAAGCACATTTAAAACGCGTTTAAAACAATTTTAAATCGTTTTAGCTGACTTGGTTGGTAATAAGGTTTTTGCATTTGTCTTGTTTTTATTCTTGTATTTTAGATGACGTTTTTGCAGACGATAATGAGGAAACGTCTTCTATGGTTCACTGCAACTTTAGTTACTTGTTTAATTGTGATATTGCATATGCCCCCGCCTGCCCAATCATTACCGTTGACATCGAAGGAAGAGCATGCCTCAAGTCGACGTTACTGTAGTACAGCGCTATTCGAAGCTATACGCATTATATGCGGAGGTCGTTATAACTCTTTAGGCAAGCGATACCGTAAGTTTCTCTTTATTAATTTCTTTTTTTTTTTTTTTTTTTTTTTTTATTGAAAGGCATTCAATGTCACAATGCTATTAATAATTTGCTCTTTACTTTTTCTCATGCCTTTTTAGCTGACAGTTTTGGCAATTATCGTACAAGTACTTTAAAACGTTTGGTGCCAGATGATGATATAATCTATAGACCATCGTTTGGTGGAGCAGCACATGAATGCTGTCGACGTCCTTGCGGCTACTCAGAATTGCAAGCATATTGTGCGGATTAATATATTAATAATCTCTTCGTCCCTCCCCGCCTCGCCATTTTTATCTTTGTAGTCTAACGGTTGCTCTTCATACCATATCTTTGCTTCTTGTTAATTATAAATTTAAGCATTTTTTTTTTTTTTTAATATTATAATTATTATTAACATTATTATTATTATTATTATTATTATTACTATTTAGAATTATGTTTTGTTTTAGTTTAATTTATATGTGTTTATGTGTGAGTTTTGTTAAAACAATTTTAGGCTGTTCCTGTAACTTTCTCTTTAGCAAAATGTTTTTAGTAAATTTATTTTCTAATAGAAATTTCACAATTGAAATTATAAACATAATTATTAGAGTTTTATTATTTAAAATAAATTTATGTAGTTTTTTATACAAACAGAAAAGAGTGACATTTTTCTTTCTTTTTTTTTTTTTTTTTTTTTTTTTTTTTTTAATTATATTTCGGTGTTAGCGTATCTTTTCTAAATATTTAATTTTAAAATATGAGATAAGCAATAAATAAGTCTCCAAACTGTGCTCATCGTTAAACGTTCATTTTACCGAAAAAGTATCGGGAATTATTGAATTCGAAACCCATTACCATCAATATTTATTGCGCCAAGTCAGTCAGTCAATATAATCGAAACATTTTCTATTCTCAATTATGATCGACTTAAGTTTTGTCCGATTGAAGGCAAATTTTTTTTTGTACTTGAGCATTCACTAATGAAATGTCTCCCACAGACACTAGCACGGATAATAGGTTGATTGAGGAACGTATGTTCAGCTCGAAAATACAAATGAAAGCAAAAAAAAGAGAAGAGAAAGAGACACTGGCGAGTATAACATTTGATAATTAATTTTGAATGAAAAATGTGTGCGCAGAGAGATCTAAACGTTTCGTTTACTTTTTCTCGTTCAGAGAAAAATAGATACGAGCTTCCTCTATTCAAAATATCCTTGTATTGTTCAGTTATGCCTTTAACACGACTATACTAAAGCAGAGAAATCGTCATATTTTCGAATGTCATTTTGACTTGCTTTGGAATTTGAGTTTCAGATCTGATTCAGTGAGTTAATTATAAGCATATATGATGATATGATAGAAGAATAAAAAACACGTGTACAGGCAACACTTTAATAAAACAAAACAAAGAAAACAAAAACGAAATGCCGGAAAGTTGAAAATTGAATGAAAAAAAATCACTTGCTTGCTAAATCGAAAACAATGGCCCATGGGGGGATCGAACCCGCGACCTTCGCGTTATTAGCACGACGCGCTAACCAACTGAGCTAATGGGCCCTCAAGCCTCCTTGTGTTAAAATATATAATAAGCTTTTGCTAACATCTGTCAATTAAAGTCAAAAAACGTATTATTTCAAAAGCACAGAAACTTATTCGATTTGTGAGTGTAGCTATATCCGATTCAATTCGATTCGAATTGTCATTAAATTTTACAAAGCTAATAGCCGTTAAAACTACAAACGCCATTAAAATAAACGGATGACCCAAGTCATAAAGGAATGAATTATTAGACCTGTTAAGGATTTGAAGTTTTCATAAGTATTTCTCTTCTTCATATGACTAACAATTGCTACTAACTTTACTACATCCGTCTTTCAAATCAAGGAAAAAAGTCAACACGATACGATTACAAGCATAAGCACTACACTACTTACTAAAGTTTGACGATAACAAATACGTAAGACGTTATCGATATCGATTGGATCCCGACAGCAGGGCTTAGAAAGGCTAAATATCCTTCGAAATAATGCGATCAACGGCTATAGAAAAAATGAGCTGTTTCAATAAATCAACAGCATAACATTAAAAATAAAAAACATACGGAGCGACTTCACCAGACACCCCAACTCGTAGCAGAACAAGGTTTCGATCCTCGGACCTCTGGGTTATGGGCCCAGCACGCTTCCACTGCGCCACTCTGCTTCATGAACAATTTATCGAATATCAGTTAGTTTAATAAAAGATTAAATTCATTACAATAAAAAGTTGCAAAACAAAAAACCACTTAATCTACTACATAATGAATAGCGAACGACATACATTCAGATTCACACAAATTAAAATTATGAATGAAAATGTAAAATAATACTGCTCACACAGTCACTCTTACTTATGTAGAAAAATTGGTAGCGTGAGAATATAAAAATGAAAAATTGTGTGTACGTGTGCGTTAACAAACGGATATTAAGACAAAAATATGTAAAGAACAATGCACATAGGAAACTTAACGAAATTGAAGTTATCAGAAAAACGATGTAGCAAAAACTGTGAAGAAAGAATGAATTTATTTGAAACAGCAGATGGGCCAGATAAATTTATAAATTCACTCTAATGAGTTCAATTGTGATATTTGGACTTGATTACATAGGAAGAAGGCTTACTTTCTGTAAATTGTAATCTCGTACAATTAATTCTTTAAAATCAATCGACTTTATGAACTTTACCCCGTCATATAAGTGGCATTTCACTTGTATTACGGCATTGTTCGCTTCGTTAAGAACTAAATTTAACTGATTATTTCGATATTTCCTGACTTATAAGGGAATATTCAAAGTCGTTGATTTAACACACCACGTAAAGTTGGAGTATCGGAAGACAGAATAAGATATCAATATCTGGGTTCAGGGTAAACAGCTAAGGGAGTTGATCAAGTTGATACTCAGATTTTTCAATCCGAAATACAGCCTAATTAGGCTATGGCGTCACCAAACATTAGTAAAAATCCGATAGTTTACCTTTTAACATACTTTTCTTTCTTTATGCTAATGCGCATATTCCTTCCTGCTATAATATAAGTGCCTTATGTTATAATTGCTATAAGAGCCTTATTCTGATCTTGTGACCGCTGGCCAGTCATAACAAAAAACAATGTTGTTTCTCTTGTTAGAGCTTTTATACGTTGGTATCGGAGAAGTAGTCGCAATAAGATTCGCTTCCCATTTAAATAATTGCATTTAAGCATTATTATAAATTCCGGTCTTCTGTATGTAGAGTAATATATACAAGCCGAAATCCCACTAAAAATTTTTTTATGGTCAAAACTTTCTCAATAAAATCATATAAAAAGAATGCCCCACGGGGGGATCGGAAACGCGACTTTCGTGTTATTATCACGACACTCTAACCAACTGAGCTAATGAACCCTGATTTAGAGTGTTTTAAAGCAAAATATAAAGTGCCACATGAAATAAAAACATTTTTCACTACTTATCTATAAAGGAGAGATGATACAAATTGATAATTTTTCATTTATTGTAATAATTAGGAGGACATACTAGCACTTTATGGCTTTTAACTGAAAGAAGCAAGAACATTTTCGTGGTAAAATCAAATTCCGCGTTATCAGAAATATCCTTTGGTCAGCTTGGTCATTGCTTCGAAATTAGTCGTTTTTTGTTTTTGCAAGTGCGTCGTGAAGCTAATAGCACGATATTAAGTAAATGTTAATTTTTTATACATCCACATATCAAAAATCATAAATCAAAACATGAAACAAATATTTTTAAATTATATCTTAAAGCATTTTATGCTCAAGTGATAACACTACTATGCAGTAAACATTTCATCAGAATATTTGCCGTTATCCTTTTGATTTTTCTCTTGCTTTTCCGATTCCCGTATAAATACTTTTCTGTGATTGGCTGTAAAAACAATCAGAAAAGACTATGAGGACGTATGTTAAATTAACAAAAAATTGCACTCTTGAGAGAAGGAAAACTATTGTTGATTTTTATAAGAAGAAGCACAGACAACTAAAATAGATAATAACAGATTAAAGTGATGCAGAATGTTTTATAATGTTATTATATTATGAAGCGAGAATAATATATATAGTTAACTAAAACTGAAGCATGCAAGCCGTAACCAAAGTAAAATTCCAATTGCCAAAGCCTTAGTTTAGACTTTTGAAACTATACAATGGAGCTGTATATAGTACATCCGGCGCATTACTATGAGAAAAAGCATTTTTAAAGTCAACATTAAAAAAAAAAAAGCAAGCAGATTTTATGGAATTTAAAGGTTGAGCGGAAAAAAACGCTTGGTAAAATAGCACGACTGGCCCATG